CATCCTTCAGTCTTCGCCAATCCTCCACTGTCATCATAAAATCGATAACACATACTCTTATGACTATGTACCACTCCTTGCCCACAACATCCTTCAGTCTTCGCCAATCCTTCACTGTCATCATAAAATCGATAACACATACTCTTATGACTATGTACTCGATGAGAAAGAAAAGCAAGGGCTCTGCCGCTTGTTGAATAGGTCAGACACAGTGGGACGAAACAGAGTATTACATCCCTCTTTACTACCGTCCCTTCTCCCACCCTACCTGACAATATACACATCTCTATGTGCAGTACGTACATACAACAAGGGAGTTAGGCTATCAACCCGAAATAAGCAGAAAACATTAACCACGTTAAGGTATAGCCCAGCATAGTACCCATACTACACAGTCCGTCAAAGCCCCAATCAAAAAGAAAATATTCCCCATGTCGAGCATACCCCACATAGTACCGTAATGAAGAAAAACGGTGCGTCTAGACTACCCACATGCTACACACACATGAAAACACGTTTTCATCTGCTTGAAGCCCACTACCGGTACCGTCTTCACCCGAACAGAACGCCAAGCCATTATAGCTGTACGTGGGCAACTTTCAGTCTAGATACAGCGATGATTTGTTTTTGGTGCATTTGGTGGTGAGTGGTGCCGCGAGTACCGTAGTACCCACAAAGGCCTCCCCTAGTAAAAGCCTTGTGTGATGAGAACAAAAATGACAATAACCAAAAAAAAAAAAAAAAAAAAAAAAAAAAAAAAAAAAAAAAAAAAAAAAAAAAAAAAAAAAAAAAGACTAACCATCCTCAAGTGAGAATGATCCTCTAGCTTCTGCTATTGCGGGTACGTTCTGTCTACCGTCTTGCCCCGAACATAACGCACCCTCATTTCGGCAGTACCTGACCGGAAACATAGCTTGTATGCAGTCATTGTCAGCGCTCGTTATGTTCGGGGGAAGACGGTAGCAGCAACTGCTAGCTTAAATTAAGAAGGAAAACAAAACAAAAAAAAAAGAATAGTTCAATGGTTCAGTCTCATCGTCAAAGGACATACCTGCATCGTTTTCCCCAATCCCATGTCGTCTCCAAGGATGCCGCCCATTTTCTTCTCGTGCAACGTCCATAACCATTTCACTCCGCCGATCTGATGAGCATATAGCATTTTCGCCACCTTCGCTCTCAAAATATACTTGCCTCCCCCAAGGATTAAATCTTCGTCGACGGCCGCCGCTGCGGCAGAGCGCTCCCCATTAGACTCAGCCGTCGCTGACACTCTCGACGGGGACGATGTCTTCTCTCCCTCTCCATCCATTGCCTTCTTCAGCCGCGTTCCGCTCGTTGATACCTCCTCCTCCTGCTGCTGCTGCTGCTCTGCCGCCTTCCCATCCTTGATTGATTTCTCCCGGGTTGGCCGAGAAGAAGACACGTCAAGCGATCTCAAACTGTCCCCTAGAAGTTCCACGTCATTCCCCCCTTTGCCAATGTCTGGGCGACGCGTCGACTGCTGGGGTGCTTTCCCCCCCTCTTGCCTCACGATGGGGCTGTCATCAATCTCCACTACCTGTGGTATGTCTCCCTCCTCTTCCCATTCGTCACTTTCACCACTTTCCCCACACACTGCCTTATAAGCGTCCTGCCTCCATTTCTCCTCACTTTGAGGAGTCCACTGTGGCTTGACGGCGCAGAGCTTTCTCCGCCTAGGAATCGTCGTCGTCGACGCCTCTCTCCCTCCTTTCTCCCTCTCTTCCGGCTCCACCACCTCCTTCCTCCTGGAGGATTTCTCACCCCGCTTTAGATCTAGCCCATCCAATTGATGAGCCAGATCTGAGGCATCGGCATCCCATCGTTCCGCTGACGCGTTTCCACCTCCCACAGCGTGTAAGGACGATGACGATGACGTGGACGCGCGTCGTCGTGCAGCCGAGGAGGAGGAGGAATCGCGACGCCGTTCTCTCCCAGCGGTACTAGAAAGAGAAGGAGAAGGAGAAGCCGATGTTCCCTTCTTCACGGGCATCTCCCCCTTCTTTCTGTGTCGTCTAAAAACCAGAGATTCATCGTCGCCATCAATCTCTTCTCCTGGCGTTTGCCGGGATTTTGTAATCGCCGGCGTGACGTCACTAGGCGGCGATGATCGGCTTTCACCATCCTTCTTCTCCGAGGCTTCTGTCTCTCCCTTACCCGTCTTTCCATCATCTGATGTGCCCCCCTTCTCGCTCCTCCGCGAAGCAAATTGTTGACGAAATTCATTATTGTTATCGCTCCCTTTTGCCGAGGTCGTTGGAGACGCAGATTTCCTCCTAGCCGGCTCAGCACATATAGGTTTTGACGTTGCCGGGGGCGTCTTTCTACCGTTCTGCGGTGGTACAGAGGCAAAGGATAACCGTCGGACAGGGTCGCTGTCGTTGCTCTCGCCGTTCGTACTCTCTTGTTTCGTTTTCTCGGCCGACTTTAGGCGCTGCTGCTTCTCGTGAAGGCCATCACCGTTCTCGACGTGCTGACCCGATTGCTCCTCTCTCCCTTCTTCGGCATTCTCCACGCCTTTTCCCTCAGCAGTCTCCGAACGCTCTTGCTTCTTGGAACTAGGTTCTCGTACCCCACTACTACGACTAATTCCTTTCACACGTGGGGATTCTTCCTCCTCTTCTTCGTCCTCCTCAAACTCTTCCTCTCCAACCTCCTCGCTCTCTTCCTCTTCCTCCTCTTCCTCCTCTTCCTCCGCCGCCTCCTCTTCGTTGTCAACTTCTACTGCCTTTTTCTCAGCATTCTCCTCCTCTCCATACTCTTCGTCTTCATCGCCACTCTCCTCGTACTCGTCGCCGTCGGAATCCACCGCATTTTCCTCGTCTTCCTCCTCCTCCTCGCCTTCCACCGTGTCATCGTCGTCGTAATCGCCATCGCTTTCACCTTCGCTTCCATAGCTGCCATTTGAATGCCGCCCTGCTTGACCTTGATCTCCCTCGACGCAGCCCTCTAGCGCGCGTCCATGGCGTGGACGCTCTCTGGCTCCATCTTTGCCCGCCGCCATCTCTTCTTTCGTCTCGGTATCTTCACCATCGCTGTCGTAGATGTCGGAATCCCGAAAAAGATCGAACGACGGCGAGGGACCCATTGATCTTCGACTGTGTTGCGTCCCGGCAGTTCTCGTTGGCGGCTGCTTCTGTCCAGCGCGGGCGCATGGTTGCTCTACCGACCTACCCTTCCCCTCCGACATATGCTTCGAAATGGCAGGATTCTTCTCGATCGTCTTCGCTGCTGGCGACAGCTGCGCCAGAGGACTGCGACGAGTCAGACCTCGCTGCGGATTCTTCTTTGGCAAATGATCGGTATTCTTGTCCGTTTGAACAGAAAAAGAAGGCTTGGAATTGCCGCCCGAATTCATGTCCGTTTGCAAAACGCCTCAACGAAGAACAGCGGCAATGGGCAATGACGTCGAGCGCTTCAGAAGTGGGAGGCGAAAAATGGGAGAGAAGGGGAGAGAGGGGGAGAGAAAGGGGGTTGAGAGACAGAAACTAGCAGTGGGTATGTACCGTCTCTCATCCACAAGAATTGAGCGCGAAAGACTAGAGGAATTGTCGACAACTCCCAGGGTCCCGCCATCAACCATCTTCCTTCGCTCATCACTCGGGAAACCTGCCATGTAAACACCCACGTTGAATTGCCGAAAACTTGTACTCCCGCCCTTTGCGAATCCCGCGAAGCAGCGGCCCATGCTCGACACCCAGGGAAGGATCGTAATTTTGAAATTTCAGTTCCAAACGGTACAGTTAGGACCCTCGCATTTCCGGCGCCCAGACCCGTCGCTGTCACTGCGACTACAGGCCTCGCTCCACTACCTCACCCTACCCCACGCCCAGCCCCATCAGGCGAGTCTCACCATTGGGCCCGGGCCCACTACGCGCGTTTTTTCCTGCCCTTCGATCTCTACAAACGGTAAACCTTACTACCCACCCGGGGCACCGGGAACGCAGCCCTAAGGGCCCTAATGTACCTTCCTGGGCAAGCTTGGCGCCCGCCACCTAGAGATATGCCGTTGGTCCCCCCGAGTGGCATTGAGCAGAGACTGCTGATGTTCATAGGGGGAGGGGACCACCACCAGAGGGGCGGCACAGTGACTGGCCCATCGAAGAAGCTCGGTCCTGATGCTACCTGCCGGCTGACCCCTGGCCGGTATCGCCCACCTGCTGTAGCAAGCAGGTATCGCACCTGCTGGCGGGTGCAGCTCCCGCATGTTCCCTCCTTGGAGGCTTGAGCATGGATGTGGCTGCTACGGGGTTCCCCGTAATACTATAATGACAATAAAAAAAGGCCTGAAAGGCCGTCCTGTCCAGATTTGACAGGTAACGACGGCCGCCGATCAGATTTATCAATGGCAGTCCTCATCGGGCGCGACCTCCGAAAATTCAGGCGATTGGGAAAACAGCCAGTTTTCCCTATTTTCCTACCTTTCCCGAAAGGTACTAGTGGTTTAAAAGAATTAGCCTTTAAAAAAAAAGAAAAAAAAAATAGAGAGAGGAAGGGAGGGAGGGAGGGAGGGAGAGAGGGAGAGAGGGAGAGAGGGAGGGTTTTTTTTTTTTTTTTTTTTTTTCTCGATAACTCCACCTGCCTATGTATGCACCTTAAACAATAAATGTTAAATGTCAGATGATGGGAGCACCCTATCCAGCTGATCAACAGTACCTCAAAAACAAACTGAGTCATCCAGCCCAATCTAATGAGGCCTGACTGCCTATCAATTACAGTCCATCTACTTATAGCATTATGCAGGGTCCGTTACGTCATTGTTGACAGTAGCCCTGTGCTGCATGAATTGCAATTGAAGTTGTTTCTAGCTGTGCCTCTTGTCCCATAATGGCACGTATTGAGTGGGATATGGTGAATGGAGCCCCTTACACATGTCCTCCATCCAAGCACACCATAAACCCATTTAACCCATTAACTCTATGGATGTCCCTTGTTCCCACCCTCCCGTAGCCCAAAGAAAAACCAGTCGATTGGTACGGGGTGGCCTCAGCCGCCCCTTGTTCCCACCCACCCATAAACCCATGTCATTGTGTCATCATGTCATTGTGTTTTCACAATGTCGCGTTGTCGTTGTATTGTTGATCATAAATACTGTTTGAGTCTATCTGAGTCTGTCTCCACTGCTCTGGCAGCCTTCCAGCTGTGAGGAACAATCTGTTGTCCGAGAATCGATGTATAGTGGGGGTTGGGTGCATCTTCTATCTCCGGGGAGTAATCCCCTTTGCTGTACCACCCGTGGTGGGAAGTCCCTTCTTGGCTGGCCTTCTGCAGTGGGATTGGGAAGCGGGTGTGGTCGGGAAGGGAGGGGAGGGAGGGTAGTAGGGCAGGATTGAGGGAGGGTTAGGGGGAGGGATTGGAAAGGTCCAAGAGAGAAAGAGTGTTAGGAACAGTGAGGGGGGATATCAGCCGGGAGAAGGGCAAAGTTGGTTGGTTGGAATGGGAACTGAAAACGGCATCTTGGTAATCGTTCCCATTGTGGTTCCGTCAGCATCCACTTTTTCCATCGCAGCTCGTTATCATGATCCAATTCGCAGAGTTTTTCTGCACTGTCGGGTTCTGCGTTTGTTGTGAACATGAGGCATCTTGGTTCCACCGCCTGCACTCGGCTAATGGCTCTGGAGTTGTCCCCATCCCCCCTCCACAGATAGGCGGCCACTCGCCTTCTAAGATCCTTTAGACTCGGAGCCTCCTTGCTTAGGGGCCACATAAAGGGTTTGTACGGTATTGTGGCCAGCAACACACTATTGATCACCAGGGCTCTCCCAATCAGGGATGTGTGCTTATGCTTCCACTTTTCGAGTTTACCCAAGGCCAGGGATTGTAGACATTCGTAGTTTTCCCCCGGTCTGCCTAAAGCAGTCATTTGGAACCCCAGGACTCTCACAGGAGCTTCCGGCGGAAGCCACGAGATGTTTGGCAACTCTGGGGGACAGCCTCCTTGGTGGTGTAGCCACCATCCTAAAGTTTTATGTCCCTAATTGACCGCCATGCTCGACATATCACATAACCTCTATGTTCTGGCTACTCGCCTCCACCATTATGGCGAGGTCGTCCGCGAACAGTCAACAACCCAGGATGGTTTCATCCGTTATCCTTGAAACGTGTATCCTGCTTACTAGATTTTTTGTCTAAGGTTGGTCGCCAACGCGTTCATTACCACCACTAACAAGGATGGGGCAATCAGATAGCCTTGTCTGATAGAGCTCTACAATATAATTTCATGTGTCAATGAACTATTCACCTGCACCCGGGTAGTACCATTATGCCATTATGGTGCAAAAATTGAACCCGATGTCGAAAGTGTTGTCCAAAGTTTAAACCTTTCCAAACACATATCCAGAAACACCTGGTCAACATGGTCATATGCTTTTTCAAAGTCAATGAAAATGAACGTCATATTGCTCTTCAATTGACGCGACAATTTTATTATTTTATTGATTAGGATAACATTCTCTTGGATGTTCATGTTCCGGATGAAATCGGATTTGCGCCGGATGGATTATATCTTCCATTTTTTCTAGCACTCTGTTAGTCAACGTTTTCGCAAGCATCTTGTAAGTTCTTAATGTTTATTTTGTCCCCACCCTTTGCCTGACCAGCTCTCCCATCTGCCCTGTGTCCCACGTTGCCTTGTAGAATCTCATAAGGTTTGGCCTTAGCGTTGACCACATGGTCTCCCATTATTCCTTAGAGGATTCTATAGTTGACATTTTTTATTCAAGTTCTTTCATCCGTAAAAGTGCGGTCCACACCTTTTTTTTTTTCAATGGCTCCTCCATACTTTTTTTTTTAATAGGGAAAACTCATTTTATAGGGGTATCAATACCTCCTTTATTTCGGTCTTCCAACCAGCCTCCTTAGTGGTTGTGATGTGAGATGCAAAACGATCTTTGTAAAATTTTATAGCAATCTAAGTGAAGTGAGTTGTTGTGATAGCCACCTCTCATGGGGGAGTAGGATCAATTAGTGCGTCGATCAAAGTTTGATGGGTACTTTTAGTGGCTAAGCTGAAAATTTTGGGATCCATCATGCCTTTTGTTGACCATCTAGACAACTTGCTCTTGATTCAAATATCGTCTCATCTTAGATGAGTCATCTGTAATAATTAGTCTTGCAGCCCCTTTATGGTAGCTCTTTGAGCATTTAAGTTGTCCTAGTTCTCTCGAGTGTGTAGTTGCCTATGGACTTCTCTTTCGTGGCAGTGTCTTTTTTAGTCCGCAATTAATTCATAATAATGTTTGCATTTCCTTGTTAACAAAAATAACCCATTCGTAAACCATTGGATCTCCGAGCCAAAATGATCTTTCAAGTTTTGCCAACATGACCATACAACTTGTATGAAAGTGTGAAAGTTGTCCTTCAAGATATCTGTTAAAATTGGAACAATACAAAAAAGATTAGCATGACCCTGCGCAAGGATAACACGCACAAAACGAAAAATTGTCTAGTTAAAAAAGGGGGGAAAAAAAAGTGTGAAAGTTTTTATACTTCAAAAGAGAAGTATTCAGTTTATAGTACTTCAGTCCCTTGTCAAGACGCTTATGGAAAGTGAGAATTGCCCCACATGCTTTGTGGTCTATCCGCGGATGGGGGTTGCGCTGGAAGATAGTTGTCAAATGCAGTGCACTTTATATATCTTGGCAGATAGATGTGAAGGTTTTATCGGTCGAATGCATGCAACGAAACGAGTTAAAGCCTTAAAGGTCCGTCATTACCTTCTCATCCTCCTCGACATAGCTCGGGGTTGTGCCTTGTGAATTCCAACGGTCCTGCCACCTATCTGGGGCCATGTTAAAGTTCCCGACCAAGATTAATGGGATGTTTTACGGTAGCCATGTTTTAATATGCTAAAAAAATTGTCTCCTTTCGGCTATGGTGTTTGGGGCGTAAACACAAAAACCTCACACCGTCTATAATTATAGCATCACTAGTATTGAGACTCCTTTCCCATGTTCCTCGTTCATTACCCAATCCACTCCCTGCAATCTGGAGTTCGAGGGGACCTAAATGGCGACCCCTACTGGGGCTGGGGCCGGTGCATGAGCCATATATGACTGATACGACCAGGCTTCTCTGTGAGCCCTATAATGCTTTGCCTCGTTTGTCAGATGGAAGCACCTAGGTCAAAAAGTTCGCCAGAAGCGCGCCTGCTTTACGGAAGAGGTTCGAAAATCCGACGAACCATTTGCACCCCAGCACCAACCGTCGCCAAGAACACGACTTTATGAGCTTGCACCGCTTGTAGTTAAATTGACGTCGTCACGCAGCGTGCGCAAGCGGACCAGGGGAGCACCGTGAGATCTCGAGAGGAAAAAAATAGCTAGGGCGGTGAAAATCGATTAGTCAATATAAATCCCTCTCACCGATATGGCAAGCCTTCAATGGGTTATAAAGGTGAAGCCAATCAGTCCACAATAACATTTTCCGCACATCCGCGTTGCAGTAAAGTCCAGCGTCGTCTGCAATCACAAAGGTGGAAAAGCTGCTATGCGGGATCGTCGTTAAGGGTCGAGCACTGACAGGTTCCCGTACTTACACTCAGACAAGAAAACTACGACTCCATACAATCCCAACTTACTCCCACCCATAATCCAAATCCTAATCTGAGTACCCCGACTTGACACACAACCGTAACAAACAAAATTACCACTTGTATT